GTTTTGAAGCAAAGACCAGCTAGATCTTTTTTGCAATAGTTGGGGTAATATCTTTGTACATGTTTTTCCTTACATGTAAGTATTTGTGTATTTCAACCCCACTTATGGTAAAGTGACAAAAGGATCAAACTGTGCTCCAAAATGAGGGCCAGGACTCAGTAACATAACCTTCCTTGCCCTTTTCTTTCTTTCACTTGAGTGAATATATCTGAAAAGGGTGGATACCAATATCTATCATCAGAGTTAGAAAAACTTCTTTTCTAAAATGCAAGACTTGGGCTAAAATCCCAGCTCTGTCACTTACTTGTGCACAATCTTGGCAAAGTCATTATGGTTTTCTCAGAATCAGTCAGTCCAAAAGCAAAATAAAAGCATCTATAACCTGCACAGTTTATCTAGAAGGTTTCTTATTTTTTATGAAAATTAAAATCAATTAGACAAACTTTTATTGAGCATCCATCACTGTATTTTGAGATAAAGCCCAGCTAGATGATTTCCACTTCCTTTGATAAAAAAAGGCAAAAATGTATAAGATACATTCATCACTGATTAGGCAAATTGAAATAAATTCATGAATACAATGTGATGCATGTTGCTTCTGAGCTACTGGTAAAGAATGCAGATGTCTTGTAGCCCTAAGTGCATTCTAACTATAGTTAAATGTTTACCTATCTCCTCTGCCAGACTTGAATATGTTAAATGCCAAAGTCCATGTTTCACTGAATTCCATATCACCACTATCAAGCATAGATCTGGCACATAATAGGCATAGAATAGGTTTATGTATGAATCTATTAATGAGAAGATGATAAGCATGCACAAATAAGAATTAGGTTCAAATGGAAAGATAATCTATTTAGAGGTAAAAGCCTCTGGGAGGGAATGAAATATCCATAGATTGTTTTTTAAAAAAAATATTATTTTTTTAGTTGTAGTTGGACACAATATCTTTATTTTATTTATTTATTTTTATGTGGTTCTGAGGATCAAACCCAGAGCCTCTCACATGCTAGGTGTGTGCTCTACCGCTGAGCCACAACCCCAGTCTGATATGTGTATTTTCAAAGTTCTTATGACAGACGCTTCAGCAGGTCAGGTTCTCCAGAAAGCAGATTCTGAGAAAGCGATTAATGTCCAGAAATTTTATTGGAGAGAGTTTTCGGCTTAACACCTGTGAGGAGAAAAGGAAAGGGAGCAGAATAGGGTGGAAGTAGAAGCTGAGCCACCCATGCAGCTGTCACTATGACAACAATCGACCCTCCCTTCCCCACAAAGAGTTAGGGTAGCCCTTCAGAATTAACCAGACTTAGAGTAAGGAAGCCAGGGTTTTATAACCCACACATTAGATATCGACCTGTCAGCAGGTCCAGTGTGCCACAGGAACAAAGGGAGCAGCTCTCTTTAACAGAGTCCAGTCCTGAGGCCTGTTAGCCAGCAGCACTCTCAGCAGTGAAGTATTTTCATCCTGAAGAGGGGACTGGGCAGCCCACCACAGTGTCTGCTACATTATGATTCTCAAAGTTTATTCCCCAGCAGCAGTGATTCTGAAACTTTGGCATGCATTAAAAATGTTGGAAGGGCTTGTTGAAGCAGCTTACTGGACTCCACCTATAGATTTCTTGTTTAGTAAGCTTAAGATGAGGCCTGACAATTTATTTGCATTTCTAAAAAGTTCTTTGATGATGTTGGTTCTACTAGTCCATAGACCATATTTGGGGAACCATTATTCCATATCACTCTTGTTTATATATTGAGAATACTACAGGGTGTCCTTACAAATAGAGTAAAAACCTTTTGAAATCATCATACCATTCCTTACTCCATCAAATTCTCAGCTATTTTGTGTACATTATAAAGCTGGGAAAACTGATTTTGCTATATAAAAAGTTCTTAATCTCTACAGTAGATTCTCTTTGTAAAGCATTATTACTTTTTCTGATATCTGGCCATTTCTACTTTTAAAATTCAACAAAATTTTCTCCAGGGTTTGCTACCCTGGACAAAGGAATTGAAAAATAATACATGTTCAGGATCTTTAGTTTTGGTCTAAATCAATCATTTATTCATTTATGATTCTCATTATTTTTATATTTCTGTTTATCATATAAGCCAAAGCCATATTTCTGAGAAAAATTAAAAACTAAGGGGGTATATTTAGAGTTATTTTGAATGTACAAATATGGAAATTAAGTACTCTTGACTCATTTATAGTCTAAACTTGGCACAATTAAAATTTAGGAATTCAGTGTACATGCATTGGACCCAGGAGAATGACTATAGTCTTAAAAAACCCTATACAAGCAGGAAACAACAATCTCACCTGTGATTAACAAGGATTGTGAAAGAGCTCATTTGAAGAGATATTTCTGCTGTTGCTGCCATTGGATTTTTCTAAAGTGTTTCCCAAATTAGAAAATATCCAGCCTGATGTTGTCAATATTTCAGACCACGAGGGTATCATTTAGGAAAATGGTGCCTTACTGTCCTGAAAGAGTTATGCTTCTTCCCTAAGGGCCTAATTTACAAAGCAGCAAACTCACTGGTAGGATTTGGCTGAAAATCTCATTGTCTGGGTAGAACCCTTTTATCTGATTTATGTGCATTGCATTTTGCAAATAACTCTTAGAAAGTTATTTACTAGTTACTTCTCTGGCAACAGAGGGTAAGTGGTGTTTCTAGACTAAGGAGAAAGGAGCTCGGGTGTGTCAAGTGCAGCTCATCATGAAGATGAAGCTAATAATAAAATACACAATGTCTAATTCCCCAAGTTTCACTAGGTCAGTGGGAGAATTTCCTATTATCCTTTTATTTTGTTTGTAATTGGAGTACATTAGAAAATATGTCAATGTCTAACTGTGCATTCATCTTCTGGAATGTGACAACTTATTTCTGGCCTGTGTTTTGGACTGGAGATCGAGTAAGTCTTAGTGCAAACTGGATAAAATTGCTTCTTTTGCAGTTCAGGAACAGTCACTTGTCAGCAGTTACATGGGGTTCAGCTTGCTATATATTGCATGCCCAATTGTAGCATTGAGATTCTGGAAGCTGTGACAATGGTTCTGCATTTTTAAATCCTGATAGATGACAATTTTTATATTTGTCCTTGTATTGATAGTTTGGCTTCAAACTAGATAAGCCAGCAGGCCAGGTTAGCCCTTGTGCTCTGTGGGGTTTAACTTTGCCCAACCAGAACACCGCACTGCCTTTCAGCTGTGCTGTATTAACATTTATTTAGGAGTTGATAAATAGCTTAGTGCAATGCTTACTTTTTTCCAATAGCTGCATCCTCATAAACCTATTCTACTCTCCACGAGTTAATGCAGACAGAAGATTTTTATCCAGTATGAGTGCCGAAACTACCCTGTGAAAGACTGTGTGCTCAGCAAAAACCTCACCCATGATGAATAAACAGCTCTTCCGGGGGCTTTGCTGCCGCTGGCTCGGCAGGAGTTGTTTGCCTGGTTTGCACATCCCATGATAAAGTTGCTGCTGAAATAAATTGCAGTTTTGCATAATTATTGACAATCACATCTTAACAAGCAGTGTGTATCATATTCAAGTGTTCAATTTTTTAGATCCATTTTTAGCTTATGTTTAATCCCAGAAAGTGTTTGTGTAGTAAGAGAAGGCAAATAAGGCATTTAAATAGAGTACTAATTTCCTCATTTCGGGCAAAATTTACCTGAATCTTTTTAGATGGAACTGTTTCTGCCTATGGTAATTTTCCCTCCTGAGCTATTATTATGTAGATGTTTCCTGAGAGTGTGTATGTATGTGTATGTGTGTGTGTGTGTGTGTATCCACAATGAATGAATATATATAATCTCCAGAAAATGTAAATTTTTAAAGTTTTTGTGTGTGTGTCATTAGAGTATTTATTGCATCCTTTTAAAAGACTAGAAGAAGGGGAAAATGGAATGTGAGTAGAAGGAACATTTTTGAGTATCTCTAATGAGTAACTGTGTAATATGTGAAGTGCTAGACTTTACATGCTTTATTGTATTTGATTCTCATCCCAGCCATAGCTACTGGAGATGAGGAAATGAGAAATCACAGAAGTTAGTAACTTGCCATGTCACACAACTGGTAAGGAACACTGGGAATTGAACCCAGATCTGTCTGGTTTTTAAGGCTCTTACTTTTTCCATTACACATAACATTTTTCTTTTGGGGAATATTTGCAGCTGTATGACCATCATCTAATGAAATATGAACCTAGTAAAGTAGTTATAACACTATAGGGTCATGCAACATGATATTTTGCACAATGGTTTCTATGAAATGTTGTTTTTTTTTCTTGTTAATCTTTCTTTTCCCTTTGCCCTCCAATCCTATTTTTCACCTCCAGTGAAAAAAATACCTTCTGACTGTGTATCTTCTTGACTTTTCTCCTTCCCTGTCTAATCCTTGTTTCTTGCTTCAGAGTGACATCAAGATAGGCGGGGATGGGGGAGGTGACTTAGTGGCAAAACACTTGCCTAGCACACATGAGGCAATGAGTTCAATCCTCAGCACTACATACAAGTAAATAAGTAAAATAAAGGTATTGTGTTCCTCTACAATTTAAAAAAATGATAAGCAGGAGGAGAGATTCTAAGGTTTTACTTATAAACATTAGCTTTAACTTTTGCAGCATATCAAAATAAGCATTCAATATTGCCCAGCACAAACTATTAAGTTTAAAAGATGATAGTTTTGATGTCTATATATGAATTTGCAAATATCCAAAGGTTGTGTGTGTGTGTGCAAGAACCATTTCTGTAGAGAAGATTTATAGAAATCTGGGATGGTCATTCATTTTTAATAGATATTCTTGCATGCCTTCCTCCATGCAGAAGCCTTTAAGGTACATAGAAATGAAGATAAATAGCACAGTATTCAAGTTGTTGTTGCTTAAAGAAGAGCTTGAGCAACAACCCACCTTTGCTCTTTTCATGGAGTTCTCTGGGTACCCCATTCTGATATTTGAGAATTGCATCTGGCTATTTGTTCCTTTGCAGAGTGAGTGAACGAGAGGCTGCTTTGGAAGAAACTCACAGATTACTACAACAGTTCCCCCTGGACCTGGAGAAGTTTCTTGCCTGGCTCACAGAAGCTGAAACAACTGCCAATGTCCTACAGGATGCTACCTATAAGGAGAGACTCCTAGAAGACTCCAAGGGAGTAAGAGAGCTGATGAAACAATGGCAAGTAAGTGAAGCGTTTCCACTTTAGCACTCTTGCAAATCCAATTGAACAACTCTCAGCATTTGTACTTGTAATTGATAATCTGGGGACAAAATAAAATGGCTGTTTTATACAGCCCAATATATTTCAGCATTTGTGCAAGGAAGAGAGAGACAGAGGGAAGAGGAAAAGTCATTTGTGATTCCATTTAATACCCTTATCTTCTAAAAAGTACATATTTTTTATCAGAAAAAAAAACTTGCATATAAAACTAGAGCTTTGGTCAAGCAGAAACTTTGCTCCGACAGAGAAATAAGTTAGGGATTGGTTTATTAAATTGAAAAGGTTGCCATTTTTGAGTGTTTATTTAATATTTTACAGGGAAAGCATCTGTAAGAATTGTCTGTTTTATTTAGCGTTGCTAACTGAATCAGTTTCCCTTCATTACTTTCAGATACATTTTGAAATGTTAATCTGGTATTTTGTAGTGTTCTTCCTAACATGATCTGTGAAAATAAAAATGAAATGGCTAAATTTGTCATAGTTAACGATCATACAATATTCAGACAATTGTTTTTCCTAGAAACAAAAATTATTGCTATAACATTTCATAGGCATAAACAGTGAAAACAGAAATGTGAGGTAGTTTTGTTTAAACAGAGTCTCATTGAAAATTATATTTTGCAGTTCAAGGAGGCTCTTCAAATTTATTCTCAGTAACTAATATAGTATACTGGAACTATTGTGGAGTATTATATATAGTTGGTTTTTCTAACTTTGGTAGCATTTCAAATATAATTTGATATGTTAAAATAATAGAAAGTTTTAGACCAACCTAATTCTTTGCATATTTTAAAATCATGATGAAAAAAGTGATAGCATATCCTAGGTTGAAAATACTTCCAAAATGAATCACTACAAGCAAAATTTCTCCCTCTCCCGTTCTCCTAGTTGTTGTTCTGCATCTTGTGGTTTGTCTGGATATGATATTTGATCTACTGTGCTACTCTGGTGCATAGAGTAGGTGATGGTGGCAATTTATACTGGTTTGAATCTGTCATTCTTGCATTGTCATCCTCCTCTGACCCCGCTTGCTCATCCACAATGCATGTTATATTCTTTGATACTTTGGAAGTAATTTCTTCAGAACAATACCTGACCTGACTTAACTTTTACAAATATCTCCCAGGGCTTTTGATAGACTATAAAAGAAATGTAAATTTAGGGTTTTTGCACATTCTTAGATGAATGATTAGATAATATACTTCTGTAACGCATTTTGCTCACATTATTTCATAAATAAATTTTTATTTCACCTTATTAATGTTCATAAAACCACCATAGAATTTTAATAAATACACAAGTTCACATTTTCCCCACAGTTACGGTTGATAAATAATATAATCTTGATTATGAGGATTTTTAAGTAAATTATATTGAAATAAATAATAATCTTATTATAAAAAATAATTTGATATCATGGATTTAGTAAAATTTCTCTTAAAATAGTGAACAAGTCTGCTTGAGAGGAAAGATATATCTATTATCTCCTATACATTTTATATTTGTAATATTAAAAATGAAAATTCATATGTAAACTATGAATCTTGAGAAATCACAAAATCCTGAATCATTAAAGGAAAAACTTACCATGTTTCTTAACTATATTTACTATGGATAAATGTAGCAGAAGCTACATGTTAGGTTCAGATTTCTCAAATCTCAAAGCAATTGAAAATTATGCAGAGAAAATGTCTTAGTTTGTGTTATATTATTGAATAAGATATATGTATTATTTTTCCTTGCTTAGCCAAACCAAAGTTATTGCTTACATTAAATCTAGTGTTGAACAGGCCACTCTTCTCCGTCTTTAAGCTGTAGCACAGGTAATGTATAACCTTCAGAGTACCAAAGACAAAAAAAAGAAAGTTTGAAAATAAAACAGGGGCTTTTTACTGCCTCTACCTTAAAGTGATGAACTGTATTTATTGTTAAAAGCCTCATAAAATTCCCTAGAGTTCCTGAAAACCTTGGCATATCATTTTCTCCTTTAACTATAGTAGGATTAACTAAGTTTCCAAAATTATTTTTAGGCAGTTTTTCTCTCCCCTCTCAGTTAATATTTTATTTTCTATGAATTCCAGTTGCCTGAGGTTTAAACTACATATTATAGATAGGAATGACCAATTCCAGTTTTTGGTTAGATGGTTGAATAATGGTCTTTTGATGAAAGATTTTCAGATGTTAGGGTAAAAACTGTGAACTTCTGAAACTATTGATTATTTTTAATGACACATTTCAACTGATTGAACTGAGTCAAGAAACTAGAGTTTAATGTGGATGTGTAACC